GAGGCTAATTGGGAGTGGGGCCAATAGTAGCATAGGGAAGACTCTGTGGTGGCCAGATTGAGAGCCCAGCATTTTCAAGGTAATGGGATTTATAGCCTCTTCCCGTCCCACCTCTTGTGCTAGGGATGGAGTGGGAGTGAAGCGGAGCATTCACTCATCCAACCACCCTTGATATTCTTTCCTTTCCCTGGCTCCTTGGTCTCACTTTACAGTCCCTTTGCAGATCACTCCTCTTTAGCCCTCTCAGATGAAACTGCTTTGTCCACTTCCACATCATTAATTGCTGGACCACGCACTCTTCTCCATAGTGTCAGCTACCTCTCCTTGAAGTTACTGCAGCTTGCTTGAAGCTTAGTTGCACGATAGCGCCATTTCCCATCTGTTAGTTGCTGTTGAGTTGGCTTTGATGCACGGCTACCGTACAACGGAACAAGACGCTGTCTAGTTTGAACTCAGACAGTGTTCTGTTGTGATCGACAGGGTTGTTATGGGCCAGTTTTCAGAAGTAGATCTCCAGGGATTCTCTTGCGATTTGAAATAATGGTGGCGTAGTTTCCAACACCACCACTTCACCCGTGCCACAAACTGACAGATGGGTAGTGGATTTTCAGACACCAGGCAGTCGGGCCAGAATCCTCTCTCCCTTCCCCCAGCTCCAGCCTGTTCCTGAGTCCTCCCACGGAGCAGCATCCTACACAGACTTTATTGCACCCCTTACTTTTCACTTTACCGACCACACGATTGCAGCTACTGAAAGGCTTCCCCATTCATCTTCCGGTCACTCATCAGCACACCCATCTGATCATCTTTTCTTTGGTTTAAATCCTGATGGTTTGTATGTTGGGTTGCTAATCTCGAGGTCAGTAGTTCAAACCCAGCAGTTGCTCTGTGGGACTCCGATAAAGATTAACAGCCTGAGAACCCCACAGAAGCAGCTCCTTTTATTCTGTAAGGCTGCTATGAGTTGAGACCAACTCTCTGGCAATGGATTTCACTTGAAAGTCCCTTATGGGCTTCTCATCACAGCATCCTTAAAACCCCATTGGGCTCTCTTTTTCCTGATCCTTGGTAGGTACAATTTTCAACCTCAACATATGAGGCTCTTTTTTCTTTTTTTAATCTGGAACACTTCACAAATGTGCGTGTCATCCTTGCTCAGGGGCCATGCTGTATCGTTCCAATGTTAGTTAGTTAATTAGTTCACTGTATCGTTCCAATGTTAGTTAGTACATGTGCTGCCGAAGCAAGCACCCCACGAGACTCTATTATTGGGACTTGCTGGTCTTTCCCAACAACTCCTAGTCTTCTTTGCCTCACTCATGCTGTCCTTTCTGCCTAGAATTCTTCTCCTCACTTCCTTGACCTGGATAACTCTCCCACATCCTTTGTACCCAAGTGTGAAGAGGATGCCATCTCCCTACTGTGAGACTTCTCTGATCCCCATAGTGCCCATTCATGTCCTCAGGGCATCTTGGTGCCCATTCATGTCCTCAGGGCATCTGCTATATTTCTCTCTCCCTCTCTTTTTGATCTCTTTTGACTATATTGAATGTATCTCCTGACATGTCTGAAAGAACTCATTTCTCTTCACTCTCTCCACATCTGGAAGCACAGTGTTATTGTTAGGTGCTGTTGAGTCAACTCCTAGCCAGGGTGTACGTGAATATCCCAGAATACAACAGAAGAAACCATTGCCCTGTCCTACACCGTCATTACAATGCTTGCCACGTTTTAGTTCATTGTTTTGGATATTGTGCCAATCCTTCTCACCAAGGGCCTGCCTCGCCCTTGCTGACACTGCTTTACCCAACATGGTGTCCTCCTCTGGCCGTTGGTCCTCACTGATGAGGTATCCAAAGCAAGTTGTACAGTGTGGTCTGTTATGATCCAGAAGGCTTGCTATTTAATAAGTGTTTATGGAAGCAAACTAAATGACAATAGGAACACATAGAGAAGTCTTTAATTGTCTTCCTTTGTCTTTGGCCTCTTGGCTGCTCCTTTCTGAAAATTCTGAGCTCTGATCATTCGCCTGAAATTGCTGTAAGCACCCAAGGGGTCTGGAGACGTCTTCTTCAAGAGGGCTTTGGAAGAATTTTCAGGAAGCTGTCACAGACCCAGCCATCAGAGGTTGGTAGGAAATGTGACTTCAGTGTTCAATGTTTCTCTGCTATGTGGTCAGGGCCAGTGTCCTTCCGACTGAAGCTGATCCACATTCCTGGGCTTGGGCCCTTCCCAGGGTTTCCAGGCCACTGTCAATGCATTCATTCATTCATTCACTGGGCATTGGGAGCCAGGCCTGCTCTTACCAAGGTGGATCTTGAAAGCACATTTCTACCTACTGGCTCCCGAGACAGAAAGTCTTCCTTGTGGGAAGAAATTGGCTTTGAGGCACTAACTTCTCTGCTTTGAGAGTATCTTAGGGATCATCTATTGCTCAGCATCCAGACAATTGTATAATATTATCAGTCTCTTGACAAATAATTATCACATGCTGTCTTCTCTTTGGCTTTGCCCATGGCTTGTTACTGACCCTGGTTACAGTTGAATGTACTCATTTATGAGATTCTACCATGGTGCATGTCACGCAAATCAGGTCCTCTTGTTAGGGGAGCACTTGCTCTCCTGGTGCCCTCTGTGTCTCTTGGTCAGAGACCAAACTTGGTGTTTTCTTTTTGCCAATGAAATCAGGCGTAGCTCACAGACACAGCTCCTGGGGCCATTATTTATTCCAGGCCAGGTCAGGAGAGAGCCTCCTTTGGAAGCCCTCCCATCAAGATAAGCCTTGCTTCACCCCTTTGGTCCCTACATGAGCCAGATGATTAACACACTCAGCTGCTTACCAAAGAAGGTTGGAAGTTCAGCTCTACCCAGAGGTATTGCAGAAGAAAGGTCTGGCCATCCAAGTCTGCAAACTCAGCTATTGGAACCCTACAAAGCACAGTTCTACTTTAACACACATGGGGTTGCCCTGAATTGGAGGTAACTGACTAAATGGCAACTGGTGAAACCATGTTTTACCCTTGCAGCACTCGGTGAGCATACTGCTTTCTGTTTACCTTTCTTGGGTCATGATCCTTTATTAGAGCCCATCCTACCTGACTGAGGTGTGACAGGCATAGCTCAAGATACAACACCAATATTTCTTCACAACAAGATTGAGCCCTTTAGAGAGGTGAGACAATGAGTAGTAGATACTGAGGTTCACAAATTTCAGGGCAACAACAACAAAAAAAAGGGTTCCCACATCAAAACTGCTGGTTTCTTGAATGACAATTTTCCAGCAGTGATTTCTTTTCAGACACAGACATCTCTGCTATCCCCTGAATTTTCTGTAGGTAGCAAAGGCTGGCCCTGATCCCACTGTTCTCCCAAGACTATTGTGTGGCCTTCTCAGTGGAGGCCAGTTGAGTGGGTGTTTTCTTCTCGGACGTGCAAAAGAAAAAATCTTATCAGCCTGGTCCATGCAGTGTATTCCCACTTCTGTGCTTTGTTCAAACAAAGTTGCAGTGTGCAGTCAAATAGCAGCCTAAATATCAGGGAGGTTAGAAGTAGGTGGTCTGGGGCCTGGGGAGTTTGGGAGTCTGATGGATCCCACACTGCATGCCGCATTGATAATGGAGTCACTCAGAGCCTTTGAAAGGCTCTGTTCTCAGAAGGGAACAGACAAGGCTTTGTGCAGCTCTAGGCTGGGGGGCTGATGCCACTGGGCCACCTGCCTCCCCACTGCAGAGACGCTCTTCATGGGCATGGGGGACTGCCCTGGAACCTGCTGCTCCAGAGGCCCAAAATGAGCTGCACGGTGGGGAAGACAGGGAGGCTCGACCTCCCCTGCTATCTGATGCCTTTTCTTCACCCCTAGGACCCCAGAAGTATTGAAAGGAACACGATAAACTTGAACTTGGCATCGATAGCCTCTCCTATTGCATCTTTGTTCCTTCTTCATACACTCTCCTTGTTTCTTCTTTTTCTCTGTGTGGTCTATTTTCCACCCACACTTTCTTTCATCTGCCTGGCAGTGTCCGTAAGCATTGTCTCCTTAGTTCTTTTGTGGCAAACTGGCCAAGGGGACTGCAAGGCCAAGTGCTTGTGTCATAGCACAGCTCAGGCAACGCTTTTATCATCTCTTGCTTCTTGTGGTTTCTGATAATGGCCCTGTGTACTGATAGAGTGGTTCATGGGATACGAAGGGCTTCCACACCCAACTCTCCTTGGAAAGAGAGAGGGGCTCAAGATTTTGCTTAGAAACCATTTTCTCTTTATCCACCTCTGTGGCTTGCAGATTGGTGACAGTTCAATGGAGAACAGAGAGGGTGGAAACATGACTGGGGCTCTCAGAGAGATGACCTGGGTCACTTCCCTTGCTGTCATATTTTAGAACCCCCTCTTCTCAATTGGTTAAGGAGGATTGCACAAATGATGACTCATTTGAATCATGGTGTTGGAAAGTAGCACGGACTTCCAGAAAATCAAACCATCTGTCTAAGAAGAAGTACAGCTAGATGCTCTTTAGAAGCAAGGATGAGGAGATGCCATCTCATACTTGGCATGTGTTAGCAGGAGAGGCCAGTTCCTGGAAGAAGGGCATTGTGCTTGGTAAGAGCGAGGGTCAGCTCTAAAGACCATTGACAAGATGGTCAATACAGTGACTGCAACAGGCAGTGCTTGGTTCTGTTGTACATAGGACCACCTTGATAGCATGTACCAACAACAACAACAACAACAACAACAACTTCTCAGTTCTGGCGCTGGGAGCAGATTCCTTTCACAGACTTCTCTCTCTTCTGGGCAGTCTGCTTCCTTCTCCTTAAGAAACACAGAGGAGGAGTGCCTGAGTGTGTTGTGTGTGGGTATGGGGAGTGGGGTGGGAGCACATCTGGTACAGGGTGGGGCACATGTGTGCAGGGGCTGTGGTCTCTGGCTCTGAGGGGGTGGAGAAGATTTCCTTCTGTGACCTGCTGCACCTGCCTCTGACCTGGTTATCTCTGGTTATCTTCCCCCAGGGCTGTGTGTGATGAGCGCGGCAGCCATCTTCACTGTGAGGCACGCAGAGTGGCATCTCAACTCTGACTACACCTATGGCTTCGCCTACATCCTGGCCTGGGTGGCCTTTCCCCTGGCCCTACTCAGTGGCGTGGTCTACGTGATCTTGCGGAAACGTGAATGAGGCACCCAGACAGGCCCTCGGAGGCTCTGAGCAGATACAGAAAAGGGAGGAAGGAAATCCGAAACAAGGGGGAAAAAGCTACCCAAAACAACCCAAACTCAGCCCAAACCAAACCAAACCAAAAGTAGTTGGAGGAGGGGGGTGTTACTGTTGATCAAAGATGTATATAATATCTACGGTTTATAAAACCTATTTATAACACTTTTTACATATATGTACATAGTATTGTTTGCTTTTTATGTTGACCATCAGCCATGTGTTGAACCTAAAGGAGTATCTAATGAACTTTAAATCCTAATAGTATAATCAAGCTCAGTATTTTTGTTTTGCCTGGAAATAAAACAATAACTCAATCTCGCCCTTTCCCTTTCATCAGAATGGGGGAAAAAAAAGAAAGAAACCTTCCTCCCATACCACCTCATTTAAAAAACCAGAGCGGGGACCCTAACCCCAGTGGCCAAGAACTCTTTTCCTGTGGGCCACCCAGTGCCTGGACAGCCTGGCCCTCCGTGCGTTGTCTTACACACACGCACACAACTCCCTAAACCGGAGCCCTCGGTACAAACACAGCTGCGGCTCTGGAACACTCCCCCTGTGGGTGGATGTTTCCACTACACATCTAATGGAGAAATCGGTGACAACAACCTGTGAAATGGTGCTATGTATTTACCATTCCTTATTACCAATAATCATCTAAACGACTCACTGGAAACTCAATTAACAACTTCACAGCATCAAGTAGGATGGAGTCCTACCTAATTTTGTGTAATAGAAATGGTTTATAACCCCCTTTGTACCTCGCTAGGCTGCTGTTATACTATTATGAATAAACAACTAAGCAAAGCCTTGATGGCTCCCACAGTTTCCTTGGGTCGGAGCATCAGGACACGTCTCTGGACCTCCTGGGGCATGAGCTTCTCAGGCTTGGCTGGGTCTAGACTGTTCTCTTCCTCCAAGGACTGTCTGGCAATGACTTGTGTTGGTCACCGACTGTAGCTGTATATACGGTGCCCTTCAGATGCCAAGACTCCAGACCTTTCGGTTTTGTTTTACTTTGGCTTTGCTTTTTCTGATTTTATACCAACTGTGTGGACTAAGATGCATTCAAATAAACATCAGAGTAACTCACTGGTATCTGTTGGATTTTTGTGGGAACTGGAATGTGGGTACAAATTGCAGGCCAGACTCGTGAAGATCATCCGAGGAGAGCCAGGTGGTTCGGATCTCACCCAGAGTGGACTGCTGACGGACAACAAGCACAGGTTTCTCACAAGACACAGGGACCACACTGTGTCTTTCAGAGGTCCATACACACATCTGCTATTGGGAGAGCACTCTGGGCGGGGGTGTGGAGCTGAAAGCAAGGCGGTAATTGGATTGTAAAGGACAAAGAATGTTGAATGTTCATTTAGCTCAGCCCTCTCTTGTACTCTGTTCTCAGGTGACTTCTGTAGGGAATACTGATGCATGTCAGTCATGAGCTCACAAATCCTTCCTTACCTATTAGGAAGAGGGGGGAGACGTGACAGGAAAAGTCTGAATAATGATGACTTGATAAGAGTTTTACTTTAGCAACCGAGCTCCTAGAGCAGTGGTTCTCAACCTTCCTAATGCTGCCGCCCTTTAATACAGTTCTAATGCTGCCGCCCTTTAATTCAGTTCTAATGCTGCCACCCTTTAGTACAGTTCTAATGCTGCCGCCCTTTAATACAGTTCTAATGCTGCCGCCCTTTAATACAGTTCTAATGCTGCCGCCCTTTAATACAGTTCTAATGC